CCACAGACGTACATACACACATACATACAGGCACGCAGACATACACATAAACACATACAAAAAAACCCACATACATACACACACACATACATACACACAAACACATGCACACACATACATACACACATGCATACAGACACACAGACATACACATAAACACATACACACATACACATGACCCGGCTTCGCCCGGGACTTGGATCCACCACGGCGGCAAAACCGACATACATACACACACAGACATACACACAAACACATACACACACATACATACACACATGCATACAGACACACAGACATACACATAAACACATACACATGACCCGGCTTCGCCCGGGACTTGGATCCACCACGGCGGCAAAACCGACATACATACACACACAGACATACACACAAACACATACACACACATACAAACACACATGCATACAGACACACAGACATACACATAAACACATACACATGACCCGGCTTCGCCCGGGACTTGGATCTACCACGCCCAGCCGCCTTTGTCTCCCAAGTGCCGATGTTAATACGCCACACCAGTTACTCGTTTGAGGCTGAGTGGACCTAGGGGAGGTTCCAATAATCGTCACCGGTGGTGGCCGTGAGCGGGAATGGAACTGGGTTCGCCGGGTTGGTAGCGCAGCGTAGCGTTAAGCACTACACCCACCGCTCCTCACACACCACACACGCACAGACACACACACAGACACACGCAGACACACACAGACAGACACAGACAGACACACACACACACAGACAGCACGCTAAGCACTACACTACCGCTCCCCACACACCACACACGCACACACACAGACACACACACAGACACACGCAGACACACACAGACAGACACAGACAGACACACACACACACAGACAGCACGCTAAGCACTACACTACCGTTCCCCCTACACAACACACGCGCGCGCGTCCATAGGTACACATACACGCGCTTGCTGCAGACACACACGACTTTCAGGGTGCGTAAGGCAGTAAACGACTGAAATAATAAAGCGGCAATGCTGTGCGAGGAACGCCTTAGACCAGCAACACATTTGTGTAATGCGAGCGTAAACACACAAACACATACAAACACATACACACACATACATACACACACATACACACAAACACATACACACAGACATACACATACACACAAACACACACATACATGCACACAAACACATACACAATACACACACACATACATGCAGACACAGACAGACACATAACACACATACATTAACACACTTACACACACATACATAGACACACACATACATAGACACACACATACATACACACAAACACATGCACACACGTACATACACACATACATAGAGACACGCAGACATACACATAAAGACATAAAAAAAACCCACATACATACACACACACATACACATACATACACATACATACACATACATACACACATACATAGAGACACACAGACATACACATAAACACAAACACACATACACATGACCCGGCTTCGCCCGGGACTTGGATCCACGATGCCCCGCCGCCTTTGTCTCCCCAGTGACGATGTTCACACACGACAGCAGTTACGCTTTTGAGGCTGAGTGGACCTAGGGGAGGGCCAGGTCCGTTTCAAATAATCGTCAGCGGTGGTGGGCGTGAGTTGGAATCGAACTGGGGTCGCTCAAGCAGCTTAATGACTGTTTGTACAAAGAACATATAAAGAATCGATTATAATAACCAGGCAAGAGTCCACATTATAGACTGCCAGTACACGCACTCAGCTTCATAAGCAGGCTAGAGTGTACATGATAGAGTTGCAGTACGCTCACCGAGCTTAATAAGCAGGCTACAGTGTACATGATAGACTGGCAGTACGCTCACCCAGCTTAATGAGTATTTGTACAGTGAACATTAAAGTAATCGATTGTTGGCGCGTTGGGTTTAAAAGTAATATTAATAGCACACATTGTGGTGGGGGTGTAGTGAAGAGTAGGAAAAACGTTGATGAATTTACCTCAGAGTGGCGTGGTGGGTGTCGAGGCCTAGTAGCGTGCAAAGCCTGCGGCCTCGCCTAAAATTGTCGGCTTGGAAGAGGCAGGGTACGGGTGGCGTTCCTTCCCCCCCCCTAGCGCTCCAACAATACTGTGTAATGGCTATTATTTAATTAAATACGGAGCTTATGAAAGTGGCGAAGGCGTGGCTAGCCGTTAGCAGGGGCAACCGCTGTCCAATGAAACTGCAGCCCTTGGCGAAGGCGTGGCTAGCCGTTGCCAGGTCCAATGAAAGCGGCGAAGGCGTGGCTAGCCGTTGCCAGGGGCAACCGCCGTCCAATGAAAGTGCGTATGGGCCAAAGTCCACACACACACACAGACAGACAGACATGAACGATTTTATATATATAGATTAACGAGCATAGCAATGCATGGTGCATTGAATATGGAAGGAAAGCCCATAAAACCGATGCTGAACTACAAATTTCGTTAAACAATTCAGAGACAAAGGAGAAAATATTTCGGACAAAACACCACAAAATATAATTAAGACACCATAGCAAGAAATAGGGGCATAAAAATAGAAAAGAGTACCTTGATAATTGCCAAGTCATAAATTTAATTTCTTAGGGATAACTATGGAAACCATATGACATGATTCAGATAGTCTTCAAATCAGTGCAGGAATTGTATGCAGATTTCAATAGCAAAAACATTCATATATCCCTGGAATTTTTAAAAAATTCTGATGTAGAGGTGGAACATTATTGTGTTAAAACAGGTGATAAAAATGGGACTTGAAAATGTAGGCCCATTAGCCCCTCAACAAGTATACATATACATTTTTGATGAACAGAATAACATAAAATAGAGGCCAAACCAACCACAACGAACAACATATTATACGTGGCTAAATGAGAGATTTGTCATGCGTGTATAAAATTTACCTCTTATTTTCAAACCATGCAGAGTATCTAGAAAAACTGAAGTTATAATTGCCAATATTGTCCTCTTGGGTGACGAATATCCATATATCACCTGGTGATGCTGCATCACTAAGTTCGAATTCGACAGTGGTTATTTAACCCATTCAGTGCAATGCAGACTTGTATATAACATTTATAAAAGGTAGTGGCGCATGCCTCTAATTCAGCAATGGAGGCTCGGATTCGTGGAGTGCACAAAACTCCCCTTCTGTGGACCCCGTGGTGTCGTTCGCTGGCTCGCCAGGAGGATGCGGTACAAACACAACCATGTTTTCTTCATCTGTTCCATCTGCATGGGTTTTCTCCCAACACTCATTAACGTGGCTGATATCACTTTGATACGTAGAGGGCCGCAGAGCTTGGACAATTGTTGGCGCCGACTCACCGCGTGGCTGCTTTCCTGCTTGTCTGTGGTTTCTCGCGCCTCTGAGATGTTCTCTCTCTACGAGTGAATACTGTGCAGCGCGTTACAAGTTAAAATTATTATGAAATGCGACTACAACTCGAAACATACAAAAACAATGGGCATTTTACGAGAGTAATGCTTGTGTGACAGAAAAACAGATATTTTAATCTTCAAAACTGGACTTTAGCCACATGAAGTGCAAAACTAAATTTCATGTGATGTTAGGCAGAGTGAAAAATAAGTATAACCCGTAAAAACAAAGTTTTTCACTATAAATCCTTTATATGCGTGGCAGCGAACTTAATATAAAGGATTTAAAATATATTCGCCTGTGGAGGACGCGGGGATCGATCCCGCGACATTTGGCATGGGAAGCGAGGGCGCTACCAACTGCGCTACTCCGCCACGGCCTGTGGAGGGGTTACGCTCTGGGCTCTTATACTCTGACGTTCAGCCAAAGCCATGAATTAGTTATATTTGAATATATGTAAAATAAATTTTTTTGCCTAAAAAGTGTACAATTTTGGGAATATTTTTTCACGAACAATAATTGTCTGGCACAACGAGTCTGTGTGGAAAATGTCAGCTCGATTGGATCACGGGAAGTGGGTTAAAAAACGACCGAAAGATTTGCACGGTCCTAAACAAGCAAGCAAGCAAGCACGCGAACTTAATATAAAGGATTTAATAAAAGGCAGGTCCTGATTTATTATTTTACTGACGAGTGGCACAGTCGGCGGCACGGAAGACTGAGGGGTTGGGGGTTTCAAACTGAGTGGGCAGCAAAGGAGAATGAACGACATCCCACTGAGCGCAAAAGGTTAAGTGGGTGCTGTGATAGAAAGCTTTGGTTCCTGGAGCGGAAATAAAGATGGGAGGGTAGAGGTGCAGGGTCAGATGAGTTGGGAGAGGCAGGCAGGTGTGAGACCAAACATTATTTCACATTAAATAGACTTTTGTACGTAATGGCCCTTGCCATAAAAATGTAGACTTGACGGAAGTTCGTCTGGACCACTAAATGGAGATAAGTCTTCCTTAATCCCCCGGCTGCTGATGAGACTTAGAAAATCAAATCCATTCCATTTGCCTGCTTAAACGAATGCTGCTTTTGAACATTGGTCTGTAAGGTCAACAGGATATTGGACTCATATTCTTGGTTCTTTCGGTAAAGTCACGTAGAAGGGAAATAATAAAATAATAAATATATAAAACAATGTTATTGCTTTATATTTTTATTATTGTAAAACAATTTGATTGTTTTATATTTTTATTATTTTATTATTTCCCTTATACGTGACTTTATCGAAAGAACCAAGAATATGAATCCCTGCAGTCACGAAAGCTTTAAATCAGGATATTGGACTGTTTGTGTATTAAACGACACCCACTTGCTTTTGGTGTGTACATCTTGTGTGTGTGTCACCTCACTTAAGCCATAACACCCGGGGTCTTTCCCATGACCTCTTGCCAGCGAGCTTTAAACACTTAACGTGACCTTAAAGTGCATCCAAGCCTTGTACAAGCACTTTGGCGATGTCACCTCCACTTATTTGCGAATGGCGGTTAGTTGTTGCTGTCGATGTGCTTGAAACACTGACCCCCATTTTTTTCGTTCGTTCAATAGTGCAAATCGCAGCTCGCAGTCCCCACCGTCGTCATCCTCAACCCCGCGCCACCGACACTGCTGCCGCCACGCTCGGTGCCTCCCGCGGCACACAGCGATGGATCTCGCGCCGTGGAGGAACGCCAGCCGGACGCCCCGCCACGACAACATTTCCCACGCGGCTCCCAATGACACCGATCGCCACGAGGGCACGGCGGCGGCGGCGGCGGCACGCGACGAGCGTCTCGCCGCGGCGGAGATCGCCCTGCTCGCCGCCATCGTCGCCGTCGCAATCGCCGGCAACGGTTCGGTGCTGCTGGCGCTGAGCCGCACGCGCTGCAAGGCGTCGCGCATGAACCTCTTCGTCAAGCACCTGAGCGTCGCCGACCTGGCCGTGGCCGCCTTCCAGGTTCTGCCGCAGCTCTCGTGGGACGTGACCTTCCGCTTCCACGGGCCCGACGCGCTCTGCCGCCTCGTCAAGTACCTGCAGGTGGTGGGCATGTTCGCGTCCACCTACGTGCTCATCGCGATGACCGTCGACCGTTACCTCGCCATCTGCCACCCGCTGAGCACGTTGCGCCGACGGGGCGAGCCGAGGAAGCAGGCGCACGTCATGGTGGCCTGCGCGTGGGTGCTGAGCGCCCTGCTCAGCACGCCGCAGGTCGTCATCTTCTCGCTGCAGGAGGTGGAGGAGGGCGTCTTCGACTGCTGGGCCGACTTCGGGCAGCCGTGGGGCATGCGGGCGTACGTGACGTGGATCACGGTGTCCGTGTACGTGGCGCCCGTGCTCATCCTGGCGGCGTGCTACGGGGCCATTCTGCTCGAGATATGCAGGTTTGGTGCGCGACGTTGGGCATCGATGTCTCGGACATCTGCTGCCTTGAACCCCTTATCTGTGCCCCCGTCCGGCAACTTTGATCCAGCAAAGGGGCCATCCATAAATGACGTGACGCACCTGGGGGAGGGGGGGGGGGTCAGACATTTGTGACGATGTGTGACGAGGGGGGGGGGGGGTCAGAGATGTGATGTCACATCAAAATGCGTAACTTTAAATAAATATAAACACGTTCTACTTCATTAAATAGACTTTTTAATACATGTCTTCTTCGACAACATCAGAGTGCAGTGCCACATTAAATACGCACTACAATGACAATAGTTTTAAGCGATTTGAAGCATGTTTTTTGGCAGAGGGGGGGGGGGGGGCAGAGCTTTGTGACGTCATATTTGAGGGGGGCTCTGACTTTTTATGACGCCGTGTGACGAAGGGGGGGAGGGGTCTAAAATCGTCCAAAATCGCGTGACGTCATTTATTGATGGTCCCACGGGAGGCCAAACGTTAACCGATGTCACTATTAACCAGTTTCTGTGGCACTCGCTGGATCTCAGTGTCTCTGACATGGCCATGACTTACTCCTCTTCGCTCCCTGTGGAGCACAAGGCCACAACAAGCCCACGCCATGCCGGGCGGTTTTTAGCAGCTTTCTCTGCTTCACCCCAAGACAGGGCCCTGGTCTTTAGTTGGTTTATGACCATTACAAGCCACTATTTACACCAGCTACTTCGACACCAAGATTTGTTTTGTTTAATTAACGATTTTTGTAAAAAAAAAATATATACGTAAAATTGTATCCCAGTTGTCCTCTCCGCATCGTGTCCATTTGGGCCGCTCACCGAACGGGGCATCCCTCTGAGAGGTCTACATTGATCTCGCACGCTTAGGGGGGCAGGCAGCGCTTTCTCACCTGCTCTGCATATGGGAGCAATGTTTCTCGCATAACAGACAAAAGATAACAGATATTTGTATTAGCAGAACTGGACTTCAGCCACATTAAGTGCAACACCAAATTTAATGCGACGGTTATTTTATTCTGTGCGGTCGTTGGTGAACCCGACCGAGACAACTAAATTCCTTACAATTCAGAACCTGGTTTCATCATACACCGCTGCCTGGATTCCAACCCAGGATCTCAGCGGTTCCAGTTCAGGCCTCTCAACCTCTGAATCACGTGGCCACCTCGATGCAGTAAACCCTCTCTGGCCGCGAGGGTTACATTCTTCAAAACGCTCGGGAATTCAGAATTTGTGAATGCATAAACCTTGTTCCAATGGGAAACATGGGGTGACGTTCCTGGTACGAGTAAACATACGGGGGAAATGGTAAATGTTTAAAAACAATGACTACAATAAATACGTTATGAAAAGCATTGCGTTTTTAATTACCTTGGAGGTGGTGGTGGTGATGGTGAGGAATTCAGGAGGATGACTCTTCAGGGGATGCGGGTGTTTCATAACGTTGCACAGTTATCATTTTAGCATTCTAGGGAGTACTCGCCGAAACACTTTCCCTGATTGCATTCGCGTTCTCTTTCTCTTTAATGGACCTCATAGCCGACTCATTTATACCAAAATGTATTAACGAGTCGAGTATAAGTACGGATAAAGTAAAAAAATGCACAATCGCGAGTTCAGAGCGCAATTAATGCGAGGCTTGAGGACCAAGCAGACAGCTGAAGGGCTGTGCCTGATCTTCTCAGTTTTAAAAGTAAAATTTCTGCACGCAGCTCCTCGGTGTGGATGCTCCGTACACTCGCGAATACCGGAGTCCGGTGGGTCGCGAATAGGGAATCAGTAGACATTTAGTAACTCGCGATTAGTGCACAACTCGCGAATTCAGAACTCGCGCATAGGGAGGATTTACTGCACTGAGAAATCGTTTTAAGACTGTCACGCATTGCCCGCAGGAACCTGCGCCTCAAGACGCGTGGCCGATACCCCAAGGACCCCCGGGGCTCGCAGTCTCAATCGCCCGTGTGCTCGCGCGTGAGCAGCGTGCGCTGCATCTCCCGAGCCAAGGTGCGCACCATCAAGATGACGCTCGTCATCATCGTGGTCTACGTCGTCTGCTGGACTCCCTTCTTCGTCATCCAGATGTGGGCAGCCTGGGACGAGACCGCACCAGACGACGGTGATTGCCATCGCATCGCCTGTCGCCTGTCAGGTCTCACAGTTGGCACACCGTCGTTCCTCCATCCAATTCCGCAAATTATCAGGCGAAGTAATGAGTGGCAATCGCCTGAAAGTGGTGCTATAGAGAAGGCTCCAGTCCAGCGTTGTGGGACAGGTAATGTCGTGCAGCTACGGACGAGCCACCAGCAGGAACAAGGCCGCCCATAATTGAGCAGTGTGGATCCTTGCGTCATCACAGCCAGTGGCAGAGGAGTCTCCAAATAGATGAATGACATCGACAAGCGATTGGATAGCAGTAGCTGTCAATACTGTTGCTTATTGTCATTAAGGGTGGGGGGTGTACTAATGCCCGGCTGCCTGTTAACTACCTTGCCCAGTACACAGGAGGTTGTGGGTTCAATCCCGATCCTGACGCCTGTATATTCGGAGTTTGCATGTTCCCCCTGTGGTCATGTGGATTTTTCTCCGGGTCCTCCGGTTTTTCCCTCCTTAGAAACATGCATTTTGAGTATTAGGCTGCTGTAAATTTCCACATGATAAGCCACTTTGTTGAGCTATCATTTGTGAAAAAGAGCTATATAGCTTAGTGATCCCTACCTGGGAAAATACAAATGGTTTAGTTTAGTTTACACACTGAAATAGGTATTGATTAAAGGCTGAGTCCTTCACTCCCTACAATTGGATATATAGCTTCCTCTCTTGAATCTTTAAAACACAAATCCCAAACGTAGTCAATGACATGAGAATCAAGCTGGGATTCCTGTAGGGATACGTTCCGTTTCTCCAAATCAACTTACAAACATCGATCCATCATCCACATTTCTATCCGTTATTGATTGTGGTAATGTAATCTCTCAAGGGCAATACATTAAAATGTTTCCCTTCACATTCCTCATATTTACAATGTGGCCACGATGTACTTTTGTGTCGTTCAGCATTTCAGTGGGAAATTTCATTTTCAATTTTCTGTACGAAACATTTTGCCCCGAGCCTTTGCTGCTGTCACATCTGAATTATTGCAGCCTAGGACCGTTACAAAGTTCTGCTGCAAGCATTCATCACGATTTTGGTCAATTATCATTCTCATATGTCAAACCACTCTCGGATGAAATTTGCATTCCAATTTGTGCCTTGAAGTCATTCTCTCAAACACCGATTATTTGGTTGGAAATTATCGATGCTAAAAGCAACAGTTTTTTACATGTTCAATGTCTGCCATTGTTGTTTTAATTTAATATCAATTACATAATCAGTTCAGATTTTTACATCGTTTGAAATTAATGTGCAATTTCACCTTAATGTTAAGATTTGTTGTCCATATTTGTGCTTGTACCGCACAAGTTGAAATCAAACATGTGATTTAATTCAGGATACCTCTTGTGAGTAATAAGACTGTGCCTCATATTGCCTGAATGTAATGATTTCCATCTCTTGGAAAAATAAAAGACCACGACTGCTACTGCTTTTACTAGTAAATTAAGGAAGCCTCAGGCTAGGTTTAAAATGAATTACCAATGCAAGTGCATGGCTGGGAATTGAATGCTATTCAACGGGTTTGTAGTGTATTGCATGAACTATGAAGGTAACGATTCAGTTATTTAGATTGATAGACCTATGACAGAGACAAGTGATGCTAGCAATTACCTGCCAAGGCCTGAAAGGCGAATGAGGAAGTGCTCTGGCCAGCAATGTGCCCGGATAACTTTGGTCCAACTGTACTGCTGCCCACCAATTGTTATAGAAGACACAAATACTAAGAAAACATTTTCATCCAACCCCTTTTGCACAGGCCGACGGGGGCCACACACTTTAGGTAGCAACGGTCCGTCGCTGTTGTCGATCATCGTATCCAATGTGTTACTGCTGTTTCCACGTCATTCCTCTCTGATCAAGTAGCTCTTCCACTCGGTCTGTCCATCTCTCTTTGTCTTGAATGGAAGCCAATCAACATCGGGGTCACATCCTAATCAGCTGATTGGGTGCTTTAAAAACAACATGATTATGATTAAATGAAAAAAAGGTTACAGGAATCACAGTTTAATTTACTAATTGTTCTTCTTAGTTATCTATTATATCAGATTTGAAAGTAGATGCCCGGGTCATAATTGTATTCATGAATCAATGTTTCCCCATTGTTGAACATAGGAATCAATAGATGCTGCCGGAGAAACAATTCAATCCTTATAATGTATTTTGGAGTTGTGTTGCATGCTTTGTGATACTATGCTTTGGAGGCCAGGGTTGGTGAATCGTGTGCAGATTTGTGAATTTCCAACATTTTCTAGGCATCCACATGTGGATTTGTGAATCCATCTTTGCAGAGCATTGCGTGCTACCTTCTTAAATGCAGTGCGTTTTCCTCTGGATACTCTGGTTTCCTCCCATGAAAGACACATTTGTTTTAAAAAAAAAAAGAGTAGGCCAAACATCCCAGTGCAGTATCACCTCCAGAAAAAAAACAAGAGCCTCGAGACTCAAGTGAGTTTTTTTGAAAAACAAATAGCTTTTTTTACTTGACAATAATAAAAACGCCTTTAAAAAGGTGTTTTAAAAACGACGATTTAATTAACAACTTCGTTTAACTCACAGTCGAGAAGTATGTCAATGATGCGGTGCCTGCTCCCACATAAATGCTTACTTGAATTAATAGATTACTTCCATAACTCGTTCACACGGTTGGGCGAGGCGCTTGGAGCGTTGAGGTACCGCGGCGTTTTTTACCTACACAAATATATATAATAAGGCGTCCATACAAAATGTACATTGCTTTAAAGTAGCGAATTCATGAATTAATTGATGCCACTTTTGATACAGGCATGCATTGTCACCGGATCTGAGTACGTGTGCAAAATTTTAAATTGATTGGACAACAGGAAGTAGACTAAATGTTGATTACAAGATTTGACCATGACACAGGAATCAAGTTAAGTAAAACCGTTGAAAAAAACCCCGTGGCTTCACACACTTCTCTCTTGCTATTAAAGATCCTGAATGATCAGGATCACGTCGAAGGATTGATCCAGATTTAATGCAAAGAAACGTTGATGATTTGATCGGATGGAATTTCCTAATCGAATCGTGTCATTGGGGCGGATCGAACCCGGGCTGTGTACTTCTGCTAATGGTATCCACACTTCATGGCAGCAAATGTTATTATTATTATTAATCACTAGCAGTAGCCTCATAAAATGTTCTGAAATGAAAACTATTAACATAAAAAACAACGAGAACGTTTAGCCTGTTGATAGTTATCATGCCGCTTTATTCATCACCATAAACAGTTCATTACACTATGTACAGTGAGGAAAAAAAGTATTAGATCCCCTGCTGATTTTGTACGTTTGCCCACTGACAAAGAAATGATCAGTCTATAATTTTAATGATAGGTTTATTTGAACAGTGAGAGACAGAATAACAACAACAATCCAGAAAAAACGCATGTCAAAATTTGTATAAATTGATTTGCTTTTTAATGAGGGCAATAAGTATTTGACCCCTCTGCAAAACATGACTTAGTACTTGGTGGCAAAACCCTTGTTGCCAATCACAGAGGTCAGACGTTTCTTGTAGTTGGCCACCAGGTTTGCACACATCTCAGGAGGGATTTTGTCCCACTCCTCTTTGCAGATCTTCTCCAAGTCATTAAGGTTTCGAGGCTGACGTTTGGCAACTCGAACCTTCAGCTCCCTCCACAGATTTTCTATGGGATTGAGGTCTGGAGACTGGCTAGGCCACTCCAGGACCTTAATGTGCTTTTTTTGAGCCACTCCTTTGTTGCCTTGGCCGTGTGTTTTGGATCATTGTCATGCTGGAATACCCATCCACGACCCATTTTCAATGCCCTGGCTGAGGGAAGGAGGTTCTCACCCAAGATTTGACGGTACATGGCCCCGTCCATCGTCCCTTTGATGCGGTGAAGTTGTCCTGTCCCCTTAGCAGAAAACACCCCCAGAGCATAATGTTTCCACCTCCATGTTTGATGGTGGGGATGGTGTTCTTGGGGTCATAGGCAGCATTCCTCCTCCTCCAAACACGGCGAGTTGAGTTGATGACAAAGAGCTCCATTTTGGTCTCATCTGACCACAACACTTTCACCCAGTTGTCCTCTGAATCATTCAGATGTTCATTGGCAAACTTCAGACGGGCATGTATATGTGCTTTCTTGAGCAGGGGGACCTTGCGGGCGCTGCAGGATTTCAGTCCTTCACGGCGTAGTGTGTTACCAACTGTTTTCTTGGTGACTATGGTCCCAGCTGCCTTGAGATCATTGACAAGATCCTCCCGTGTAGTTCTGGGCTGATTCCTCACCGTTCTCATGATCATTGCAACTCCACGAGGTGAGATCATGCATGGAGCCCTAGGCCGAGGGAGATTGACAGTTCTTTTGTGTTTCTTCCATTTGCGAATAATCGCACCAACTGTTGTCACCTTCTCACCAAGCTGTTTGGCGATGGTCTTGTAGCCCATTCCAGCCTTGTGTAGGTCTACAATCTTGTCCCTGACATCCTTGGAGAGCTCTTTGGTCTTGGCCATGGTGGAGAGTTTGGAATCTGATTGATTGATTGCTTCTGTGAACAGGTGTCTTTTATACAGGTAACAAGCTGAGATTAGGAGCACTCGCTGAGAATAGGAGCACTCTTTCTGATTGAAAGGGGGTCAAATACTTATGTCCCTCATTAAAATGCAAATCAATTTATAACATTTTTGACATTCGTTTTTCTGGATTTTTTGTTGTTATTCTGGCTCTCACTGTTCAAATAAACCTACCATTAAAATTATAGACTGATCATTTCTTTGTCAGTGGGCAAACGTACAAAACCAGCAGGGGATCAAATACTTTTTTCCCTCACTGTAACACATTTTTGTTCCTGGGTAGTAATTGTTATTTCCTAATTGCTTATGCCTAAAAAGTATAGATAATATATACTCTTTGGTTCTTTCGGTAAAGTCACATAGGTATAAAATAAAATAAATCACGACGTTTCGATCACAACACAAGCGGTCGTCCTCAGGCAGAAAAAATATAATCCAGCAGAGGAACTGCTGAACTAGCGAGAGAGTAGCTACAACAAGGCTATATATGTGGCGATGGGCAAGCAAGCGGGGTCTGAGCTGGAAAGAAATTCCATCACCGAACGCAAGCACCTCAGTTGTGTTAATGGGGGATTAGGGAGAGAGGAAATAGGGAGAGAGGGATTAGGGAGGGAGATCAGCATGAATGAGCTTCCATCACCGCATAAGAGTATCATGCCCGCATATGCACACAACAGCAGTGTTAATGAGAGATTAGCACCATGAGAGTGCAATTGCAAAGAAAGAAACAGAGAGAGTCGGAAATAACAGCTGACATAGGCAGGTTGGATGGAAACATCACAGTGAGTTAAGACTTTACCTGGTTAATAATGTCCTTCCAATGATTGCTCAGTTTGTACCCATCTTCTCGGTTAAAGTTGTGTCCGTTTATATATCTGGATGGCTTCATGAACAAATCTCTGAAGGTAGCCGGTAGGTTTGCAGAGTACCTCCGTCTTGGAAAAATCAATTTCGTGTGAGCCCACAGCGTTAAAACAATGATCAGCAACGGCAGAGGTATTGATCCTACCGTGTTTCAAATCCGCCTTGTGTTCACGAACGCGGTCTGAGACATGTCGTTTCGTTTCCCCAATATAACAGCTGCCACAACCACAACTTAGTTTGTAGACACCAGGACCAACCCCGGTATCCCCCCCCCCCCCCCCCCCCCCGGGGCTCGGCTTTTTTCCTTACTGCGTGGCCAGGCCCCGCCCTCGGCCACGCCTCTTTTCCCGATCCTTCGTGAGGGTTCAGGACCCACCTCACGTGTTCCTCAACCCTGGTCCCCCGCCGTCCGCACCACATCCGGTAACGTGCCCCTTCCTGTTTACCCAGCCTCCCCTGGTATGCCCATCCGGTGTCCGCGGAGAGGCTCCGCCCCTACAGTAGCACCCACATGGTACTGTCTCTACACAACGGTACTCATACCAACGACACTACTATTTATATTACTGGAAAGTTCTAGAATGTTCTAGAAGTTACTCCAAGTTTACTCAGCACTGAATCTATCTGGAATGTTCTGGAAAATAGGTAAATTTCAAAATATCACTCTCCTGATCACAAAAGCAAAGTTTGTGGGCAATAATAGCCATTTTGTACTTTTGAGGCATAAGCAATTAGGAAATAACACTTACTACCAAGGAACAAAAAAAAACTTATACAGTGAATTATATTATTGAAGGCGATGAAGGATCTGGATGACAAAGAGAATGCAAGTCAAGAGTGGGAGTACTCGTCGAGGCGGTATGCAACAGCATTCACCCTCCAGCGCCAACCCCTAAGGCCTTTTTCTAGGGGTCCCTCCTGACAAAGCCCCCAAGACAGCCCCCTTCCTAGGGTCCCTCCTGGCAATGCCCTCAAGACAGCCCCCTTCCTAGGGGTCCCTCCCGACAAAGCCCTCAAGGCACCCCCTTCCTAGGGTCCCTCCTGGCAATGCCCCCAAGACAGCCCCCTTTTTAGAGGTCCTTCCTAGCAAAGCCCCCGAAACAGCTCCCTTCCTAGGGGTCCTTCCTGGCAAAGCCCCCAAGACAGCCCCTTTCCTAGGGGTCCTTCCTGGCAATGCCCTCAAGAAAGCCCCCTTCTTAGGGGGCCCTCCTGTGGCCCCCTAACCCCCAAGCGAGCTCCTCCCCTTCTCCGAGTCTCGGCAGCAGTGGCCGAGCCTGTGCAGCCACGAGGCTGTGGCCACCTCCCTCGCCCTCCTCCCCCTCAACCCACGAGGTTCTCTCGCTCAGAGGACCTGGTGGTCAGGGTCAACCAGGTGGACAGGGTCAACCAGGTGGGCAGGGTCAACCAGGTGGACAGAGTCAACCAGGGGAATTGAACCATGTGCCTAAAGTTCCATCGTTGGCGTGCCTGCATTAATAATAAGAAGAATTACAGCTTATATAGCACCTTACATCTGTAGTGACTAACTCGGAGACGATAAGACTTGGAGGCACTTCTTTATTAACAAGCACCATCGGGGTTAACACACTCAATAATGAGTCCATCTATTGTCGGTGACGCTACTCATCCAGGACAGTTGGTCGGCTGCCTGACTGGTGACACCCCGAGATGGTGAAGACGGAGAAGACGACGAGAAGAACGGTGACGAAGACTTCAGCAGCACGACGGGAATCCCACTGCAACAACAGCCCCGAGGTCCCCTACAGGGGCGCATCTTATACTGTCAGCATGGCCTCAGTCCACCCCCGGCCACGCCCCCTTTCTAGAACCTACTAGCCGGTTCCTTGTGTGCCCCTTCTTTGACCTTTCCCAAAGATTCCCCTCTCGTATATATCTTGGTGTGCCCATTCTTTGACCTTTCCCCAAGATCCCCCTCTCGTATATATCCTGGCCTGCTGACGTCAGGGCTGCCGTACGCCGCAGATCCCCTTTCTTGCCAGCAGCCAGTGCTATGCCACTACACATCGATGACAGTGGAGGAGGGGTTGGGTAACCAGTCAACGTTCTGTCAATTAAATAAAAATGACTTTGACAATGTAATTAACGTGTGCCTCGAAAGCTAACAAACACATCAACCAAGGGTTGACTTTTACAACTGAGTGATATTATCCAATGAAAGATAGTTGGTTGAGCAAAACAGGTACTGTAGGAATTGATCTGATAAATACGTTTGAGTAATGTCCTTTATGTTACAAAATTTGAAGGAAAGATGATCGGGGGTAAAACCAAATAAAAACACAAAAAATACCCATAGGCCAGGATCCACTACTGATAAATTGGTATCCAAGATGCCACTGGCAGAAACCAGGTCATGAGTGTAACTGCGAGAATGTTTGAGAACGTGTTGTGAAATGCCAAAGTATCAAGACTTGCCATGACATCTTTAGAAAATGGACAGCTGGAATCATCTCCATCAATTTTAAAGTCACCACGGAGGAGTTGCCTACTGGTGCTTGTGTGCAGCATGACGAGCATCTCAGAGAGATCTTGAAAAAACTGAGGAGAGGTGTTGGGAGGGTGGTAGTTCAATGCTATCATAATATAATGGATACATCGTTGGGGGAATTAATCAAATCCTTTGTTATCAGGTCTCTTGGCAGAATAGAATTGAGCAAGTTTGAACCATGGCACTGGTACACAATGGCCTACTCTTTTCAAATTACATCACAAATCCTTAGCGTAAACTCTGAAGCAAACGGCTCACATTGTGAAGGTCAATGCACCTGTCGTATTACGCAGGATGACCTTGCGGATGCGAACCGTGGATCCTATACAAGCGGCGAATGTACTTCAACTGCACCATACCACCACCCCACGAGATGGCAGAGGAGCATCCAACAATGGCACCACACTGCAAACACAGGGCGAGTTTCTTGATCCAATCAGAGAATGGCCTGGACCGTACAGCTGCCCGGATAGGAGGGCACCAACGTGTATAGTGTTGCCAACTGAAACAAAGCAGAACAGCACCTGTTCTTACAGCAAGTCGAGGAGTTGCCCTATTTGCACCTGGCGAGATGTTAACACCCTCGGCTGGTATGCAGGAGGGCGGGGGTTCGATCCGGACCTTGATGCCTGCTGTATATTAGGAGTTTGTGAGCTCTCGCTGTGGTCGCGTAGATTTTCTCCGGGTCCTCAGCTTCGTCCCCTCCACATTTAGAATCAACGCGCGTTTAGAGTATTTTTATTGCTATAAATTTGCACACGATAAGCCACTTCGTTGAGCTTTCATTTGTGGCCAGGTCTCGTCTAAAAAAGAGCTGTATAGATCAGTGGGCCTTACCTGGTGAAATAAAACATTAGTTTAGTTTGCGTGTCAAAATCGAGATTTTGCGGTCAGACTCGCAACTGGTCCCTGTAAAACTCTACACACCGACACCTAGAACTATAGCATTCCTCCCCGTGGGGGAAACCTCTTAGCACAGCCTCAGTGGCCTATTGTGGGCCTGGGGAAAAGTAGTAAAACGTGTCTCTCTCATTTCGTAGCAATAACAAATGCAAAAAATGCGCATATATTTTTGTGCGCACATGTAGCAACCAGATGCTGAATACACACGTAATTATATAAACCACCGACATAATTAAAAGCTAATTCATTCGCCGGAGACTGTCAATATGCACCTTGATAAAGACAGATTATGTGCACCTGTTGCGGGAGATTGTACTGCTGCCAATGGCTGCAACAACAACAACAACAACCTCTTGGGCCCTTCATTGAGTGGCGCAGTTGTGGGCGCCGCGGTGGCGAGACGTTAATTGCCTGGCCTAGTCTACAGGAATACGTAGGTTCGAATCCCGACCCTGGCGCCTGTATATTTAGCATTGCGTGTTTCTCTCACCGTAGTAGCGTGGAATTTTCTCCGGGTCCTCTGGTTGTTCCCCCGCATTTAGCATCAACGTGCGTTTAAGAGTATTTGGCTGCTCTAAATGTCCACACGATAAGCCGCCACTTCGTTGAGCGATCAATTGTGGTCAGGTTGCTTCTCAAAAAGAGCTCTATAGCTCAATGGGCCTCACCTGGTAAAATCAAATAACGACGTCACAGTCGGTGCACGCGTCACAGTTATCACAATCCCACGCTGTCTCCCCCCCTCCACCTCCCCCGACGCCGCAGACTCATCCGACCCCACCTACACCATCGTGATGCTCCTTTCGAGCCTCAACAGCTGCACCAACCCGTGGATCTACATGTCGTTCAGCGGGCACCTCCTCGAGGAGGTTCTGGCGTGCTGCCGCCAGGTGCGGTGCCCTGCCACGTGCCGCCAGCAGCGGCGGCGGTGCCGAACGCCGACGAGGCGCGGGGCGGGCTCGCCCAACACGGAGCACGTGGTCTACGCGCTGTCGCCGGCACCTACGCAGTGCCGCAGCTCACCCGCCGCTGTCGCCACCGCCACCCCCGAGACGCGAAGATCCGCAGCGCCGCTGTAGTCGCCAGCGTTACCGTAGCGCCATCGCACCTCCGATTACGGCGGCGAAAGAAGTTCAACGTACGTACGTTCGTGCTACGGTGTTACTGCACATTCCCAAAAAAAAAGTTTTGCTGGCGTGCGGGAAAGCGAGCCTGCGCAGCGGTAACATCAGAGCGCACGTTCTTGCGGACTATCATCACGCATCCCATGCCACCCACACTCCATCTGCCCTGGGCTTTGGATCCCGTGCGAACGCATTGGCAGTGATTGTTTTAAGAAAAGCAAATCAAAGACTCGCCATAGTCAAGATTAATCGGTAGGTACACTCGGCCCAAAACAGAAAACACACAGACGGCTGGTGTTTCAGGAAGATGAATGTGACATTACTACTATAATGAGCCAAGAATGTATGTTTGTGTGTAACGCGCGTGACGTCACACCACATGCTGCACCCCCCCCCCCCCCCGTCATTAATATTAATGAGCGGGTGGATTGCTACACTCACGCAAAAGAAGGTCGAGCGTAAATAATATTTTTCGCAAATTCGCTTTCAGTTTGACGTTTCTTTATTGAAAGTGAAGCTAATATATAATTCTACGCAGCAACAAAGTGGATTTGGTGTCTTTATTTATTTCTTCAGCACTTGAGCCAAATGGTGTCTAATTTATGCTTCTACATTATGGTAAAATATTTATTGATGATTTTCCAGATATTGTATCGAATTCCAATTTATTTCAACCCCAGCGACCAAAAGCAGAAGAGAATAAAGTATCAGAGCAGTGAATTTGAATAAATTGAAGGTCAGTTATATACAGTGCTACAGTGAACTGCAGTGAAGTGTTTTATGACTTTGTTTTGTGCCAGATTTACTGCCATTAATACAGTGCTACAGTGAAATGCAGTGAAGTGTTTGATGACTTTGTTTTGTGCCAGATTCACTGCCATTAAATTTACACAAGATACAATTATACTCTGCTCAAGTTTTTCGTAAATATTACAGCTTCCGTCCTTAGACGGGCAAACAAGGTAGTTTAATATCTTGAGTTTATTATTACACGGCATGGCAATGTCAGCTAAAACTATTGATGCTTGTTTACCAATAAAAGCCTGAGTCTCAGGACTGAGTTTTAGGGGGGTCCTGCCAAGTTGTGCGCAAGTGTCTAATTGTTATGTACATTCCAATGGAGTAATTTGGCAGGGATTTTTTCATGAGGCGGTTTGTAAAAAAAAAGTATGTATTTAATTGTTTTGTGGTGGTGTATTGTTAATAAATGTGCCGGCTGGAACCTTTAATTGAAATATCTTCATTTCTCAGAGCTTTTCATCTTCACGGTGGTTAATTTACCTTTGTCACCATCCTTCACGAAGATTCTTAAATCCACCCACCTCTGTCCACGCAGCTGTAAAATGGGCGCATCGCGGTCGATCTGCAGGTTACTTGTGGTGGAATAAAGCAAGAGTAACTCAACATCTTCAAACACGTCTGGCCAGGATTGAAGAGTAAGACATACACCCTCTTCAGGGGCCCTCTAGAGCTTCCTCTAATGCAGTGCTTCTGAAAGTGTGGTCCCTGGACTACCAGTGGCCTGAATCGGTCCTCCAGGTGGTCGGTGGGCTGATGCAAATGCAGGTTGATCCGGAAATAACGACGTGTCGGACATGAATTAATATTTTACTTATATTTCATTTAAAAATTAAGTTAGGCAAACTATCCAGATTAAACTACCATAACCCTAACATCTAAATGCCCCCCACCACTCCTAAAAAAAACCTTAAAAAGCTGCATGAAAAAAGTTACGTGCCGGTAATATGAATGATTTTGTATTACTGGTATTTCCAGAGAGAAGTGAATGCGTTTTGTCACCGGTGGTGGGGGGCTGGGTAGTCAGTGGAAGAGTTTGAAAAACAGTGCTCTAGTGGGGGGGGGGGGGGGGGGGGTTCTGCGAGCAATGGCGTGAGCGAGCAATGTTATGGCTGCACCTTCCTTGGCTGCCACTCCATGGTTCTTGACCATCAGCCATCATCTCTTCGAGGGACACGTTCTGCCCAAACACACTGGGAATGCTCGGCTCAAAATTATGGGAGTTTAACAAAAATAAGTCGTATCTTTGTTGATGAATGGCTCATCATCTCCTTGGGGGTCATTCCTGTGTGGTCAAGCCACTATAATGACAAAATCCATCTTCTTGGTTCTTTCGGTAAAGTCACGTAGAAGGAAAGTAAAAAAATAATAAAAATAAAACATAATAAAATAATTCTCACGACGTTTCGGCCACAACGCAAGCAGCCGTCCTCAGGTGAAAACCAGGTCTGTTGAGGCGACAGCGTCTGAATGAAATAGCACCATGCTTGGAGCATGATGCTATTTAGTGATTTGCTAGAAGGCCCTCCTCGAGAGGGAGCTCTAGAGAGTCACTCCAGAGGGTATATGGCCTTCTCTTTCAAGCTGGCCAGATCAGAATCATAATCTGTATTTATCCTGGAGGAATCTGATTGAGCTTTAAATCTCTTTTTCACAGATGTCCAGTAGGGGCGGGTCAGAAAGGTACAACAACAAATAATACAAAAAACACGATCGGAGTGCAGAGTATAGGAAAGGTTAGCAAATCACTAAAAAAATATATTTTATAACGTAAAGCTGTTAGCTTCATATTCAAAAGCGACCTTTCCACAAATAATAGTTCTATGAAGTGGCTTATCGTGTGGAAATTTATACGACTGGGTGGAAAGGGTGTGGGAAAATGTGCCTATTGTTCAATTCTCAATCCGGGAGATAGAATGGGCTTCCTCTGGATCGCAAGTTCAGTGTACTGACGATAACACCATGGTGGCATTCCTGTTTGTTACTAATGGTGCTCATAAAGTATTTATTTTTATCTCAATGTGAATAACGAGTGTGCCAGTTAAAATATATACTTTAAACCATCTATATAAATATTAATACAAATACCCTAACTGACAATAGGTGTAGGGCCAGATGACACCAGAAGGCGTACAACTCAAAAACAGTGCAATATCAGAGTATTGAGAGTTCGGGGTAAACATTTACACTATGAGATCTCTTTTACCAGTGGCAAAAAATATAATGGTAGGTTTTTACCCTTTTAACTGGTACAAAACTGACACCTTTATTCAAGGCATCATGTTTGCAATGACCACAACACAAGTAGTCAATAAAGCAAACAAAAAGAAGCAACTCTGATAAGGATAATAATATGCACTGTCCTTGAAGTTGATTGGCCCACACCCGAGACGGCTTTCTTTAGAGCCTAGTCCCCATTGGTGTAGGGCCAGATGACACCAGAAGGCGTACAACTCAAAAACAGTGCAATATCAGAGTATTGAGAGTTCGGGGTAAACATTTACACTATGAGATCTCTTTTACCAGTGGCAAAAAATATAATGGTAGGTTTTTACCCTTTTAACTGGTACAAAACTGACACCTTTATTCAAGGCATCATGTTTGCAATGACCACAACACAAGTAGTCAATAAAGCAAACAAAAAGAAGCAACTCTGATAAGGATAATAATATGCACTGTCCTTGAAGTTGATTGGCCCACACCCGAGACGGCTTTCTTTAGAGCCTAGTCCCCATTGGTGTAGGGCCAGATGACACCAGAAGGCGTACAACTCAAAAACAGTGCAATATCAGAGTATTGAGAGTTCGGGGTAAACATTTACACTATGAGATCTCTTTTACCAGTGGCAAAAAATATAATGGTAGGTTTTTACCCTTTTAACTGGTACAAAACTGACACCTTTATTCAAGGCATCATGTTTGCAATGACCACAACACAAGTAGTCAATAAAGCAAACAAAAAGAAGCAACTTCTTGTTGTACGCCTTCTGGTGTCATCTGGCCCTACACCAATGGGGACTAGGCTCTAAAGAAAGCCGTCTCGGGTGTGGGCCAATCAACTTCAAGGACAGTGCATATTATTATCCTTATCAGAGTTGCTTCTTTTTACAGGACACGTCATTATATACATTCAAATGCTCCCATATTTAACTTTTCAAAGAAAGGGTCCCCTTTGTCATGTGAAGTTATCCCGGCTGCTGAGATATTGCTGTGAAGAGCACCCAACAAAGACTGAGCTTCCCAGGCACTTTGCAGTTTTTGTGATGCAACTTTTTCAGCGGTTTGCAACAAGCAAAATAAATCCTCGAATAAAGATGATGAAGTCGAAGCGCCTCCATGGGTGGCATATAAATGAGAGGTCCAATTATTTTATTCATAAAAAAACTGCCACTTAAAAGCAATTTTAAATAGTGGGCAATTTACAGATGTACAAATAAATACCACTTACTGTGTAAACTGCTCCAAAGCTCATTAGAAAAATGATCAAACATCTAAAACAAAACGAACCCCTACCACGCAAATAACACAAACTAATGTTTTATCTCTTTCTGTTCATCTGTATGGTTATCTGGTTGTCTGTCTCCTCTATGCTATAATTGCGTCTTCACGTCTGTCCATCTGTGTATTGTAAGTCTGTGGGGAGTCGTAGTGTTGTATTTAGCGCACTGCGTTACAAAACCGGCCCCCAAGTTCGATTCCCCCTCATGGCCAACACCAGTGACGATTATCTGAACAGGTCCTGGGCCTCCCTTAGGTCGAATCGCCACTGGGGATACAAAGGCGGTCGGGCGTGGTGCTAGCCACTCATCCCGTCGTGTACCATGCCGGCCTTCAAAGGTGCTCGTTAACAGTACTTCCTCCCCAAATAGTCTGTTAACGTCATACGGGGATATTTGTCTTTTGTAAGTCTGTGTTGCACACTCGAAATGAAGGACGTAGGCAGGTGCTCCAAATCGGGGGCAAGCACATTTAGTCTGTTAAGGATATACGGGGATATTTGTCTTTTGTAAGTCTGTTGCACACTCGAAATGAAGGACGTAGGCAGGTGCTCCAAATCGGGGGCAAGCACATTTAGTCTGTTAAGGATATACGGGGATATTTGTCTTTTGTAAGTCTGTTGCACACTCGAAATGAAGGACGTGGACAGGTGCTCCAAATCGGGGGCAAGCACATTTAGTCTGTTAAGGATATACGGGGATATTTGTCTTTTGTAAGTCTGTTGCACACTCGAAATGAAGGACGTAGGCAGGTGCTCCAAATCGGGGGCAAGCACATTTAGTCTGTTAAGGTCATACGGGGATATTTGTCTTTTGTAAGTCTGTGTTGCACACTCGAAATGAAGGACGTAGGCAGGTGCTCCAAATCGGGGGCAAGCACATTTATTGTGGTTAATAGCAATCTTGTGAAGAACAACAGCACCGTCACTCTGTAAAATGCAACAGCACGTGTCACAAACAGCAATTATTCCGAGTCGCCATTAACCATCTTTGTCTTTGACAATCACATTTGCACATCACTATTCGAATATTCCTTTAATCCTAAGCTGTTTGTCTATCTATACCA